GGGAAGAGAAAGTGGAAAAACTCCATATCATCAGCCAAAACAAGGCCAGGGGCAGATTGTGAAACAGACCATCAATTGCTCATATGCAAATTCAGACTGAAGCTGAAGGAAATGAAAACAAGTCCTTGAGAGCCAAAATATGACCTTGAATATATTTCACCTGAATTTAGAGATTAACTGAAGAACAGATTTGACACATTAAACACTAAAGACCAAAGACCAGAAGAGTTGTGGGATGACATCAAGAACATCATACATGTGCTGGACTGCAAGTTCAGTTTGAGTCACAAGATGGGCAGTTTACTTTTCACCAGCCAATCCCTGGAAATCTTATACAGAGTCTCTGAGTTAGAACTGACTCATCGGCACTTAACAACAACAACAACAAGGTGTGTTAGGGATGAGGATTGATCTAGGATTAGGAGTAAAGCTTGGTCTAGCTTTTAGAGTTACAGTCAGGTTTATTTATTTTCTTGAAATCGATTTGATTTTCTCTTCATTTGGGCGTTCTGTAATTGGGAGTTTTCCTCTTTTTACTTTAAGGTTTGTTGTTGTTATTGCAACTGTATCTTTGGGTCTCTCTTTTCATTTTTTATGTCTGTTTCATCTTGCATACTTCTATATCTGGGTTCAGTCTAGGACATCTTGTCAGGTATGTTAGTTTCAGATTGGTGTCTGATGTTCAATTTAGTATATTTTATAAGTTTGGTCTGGTTTTCACAAGTTATTTTAATTTATTTTTGTCTGAAAATGACCTAATTTCACCATCATATTTGATGGGTAGTTTTGCTGGATATATAATTATTGGTTGGCAGTTTGTTTACAATTTCATTGTATTCTTGCCTACATGATTTCTTCTGAGAAATCAGAGCTTAGTGTTACTAGTTCTCATAATAAAGTTGTTGTTGTTGTTAAGTGCTGTTTAGTAGTGCTGACTCTTAGTGACCCTGTATAGGGTTTCTGAGGAGTGGTTGTTGAGCTTGAACTGCTGACCTTGCAGTTCAATACGACCTTACAATCCAGCGCATTAACCTGCAGTGTCTTTCATTTTTCCTGAGCTGTTGTCAAGATTCTTTTCCTGTATTTAGTTTTAAAAAGTTTGATTATAATTGGTCTTGTTTTTCTTTTGGAGTTTATTAATCCTTTTTGGAGTTCATTCAACTTCTTGATAGAATGGCTATCTTCTCATCTTTTATGATGGTAGGGCAGTTTGTTTCCAACAACTCTTGGATAATGTTTTTTATGGTTTTTTTTTTTTTTTTTTTTTGCATCTTCCTCTTCTGGAATTCCTATAACATGTTAGTTATTCCTCTTGATAGTGTTCTACATAAATCTTAGGCTTTCTTTGTAATTTTTTTAGTTGTTGTTCTTTCTTCTGATTGTACCTCTAGCGATGATTACTGAGAGATTTTTCTTCAAGGTCAGTAATTTGGCTTTCCATTGATTCAATTCTGTTTCTTTGCCCTTTCAATGTATTATCTATTTCTGAAGTCATAGTGTTAATCTTCTGATTTTCAAATTGCTGATTTTGTATGGTTCCCATTTTTCCAATTATTTTGTAAATTTGCTTTCCCAATTTTTGTTTTATAGTTTTATCAATATTTTCCTTGATTTCATCTGTAATTTTCTGGATCTTTCTCCCAATCTGTTGAAATTGCCTAATTACCATTCTTTTCAATTCCTTATCAGGTAGTTCTGATACCATTTCTGGTGTTTCATTTTCTGACTCTATTTTGGCCACTTGTTTGAAGCACTGTGTCTTGTTTCTTTGTGTAAATTGAAATTGTCTGCTTTCTCTGAGACATTGTGGTGTTGTATTTATGTTTAGTTGATGATTGTATATTGGTGTCTTCTCAGGTACTCACTACCTGTCTCTTGCATGTAATAGAAGTCAGAAATGTGAATGAAGTCAGTCTTCTGTTAGTGTGAATGCAGTTAGTCATCTGTTAGTATGTTTGTACAGCATAGTTCAGGGTGGGTTTACCTGCTTCCAGAAGCAGGGGGTGGTCTATGCCTGGTGCCAGGAGCCAGGTGGAGCAGAGGCTGTGCAGGAGGGGATGCTGCTGGGCATTAGATTGATGAGGGTGGGCATTGGCCCTGCCCTCATCTACCAGGAAGTCAACAAAGCAAGGGAGAACTTCAGTCCCTTGGTACCAATATCCAGTTGTATTCTGTGCCTACAGGCTGATGTATCAATAATAGCTGCTTGCAAACTCAGGATGGCCATTCCCACAGCCCACCCAGTTTTCTTCTCTCTCACTGCTCCTCTTTAACATCCACCTCTCTGTCCCATCTCTGATGCTCAGGGTTCCAGGACCATCATCAGTGCCTGTTTCATTTAATCTCTCATATCTTTGTTGCAGAGGTCGGCTTGGTGTGTCTGCTTACTCTGCCATCTTGGCCCTGTTTTTTACAATTTTAATTCCGCTCTTTAATGTCTCTAATGTAGATGATCAATGATTGCAGTTTTTGTTTCTTTGTAATTCTTTCGTTGGTTAAGTGAGTTTCCTTTTCTTCTAAGCTTTTTAGTTATAATAATGACTACCTTTTATTGCAGCCCCTGCTTGATGCAAAAGGCTATTATTACTGGGCTACTATTTGAAAGGTTAGAGGTATATGTCCACCTGTGGAAGTACCTTGGAAGAAAGACCTGGTGACTTACTTCCAAAAGGTCAGCCACTGAAAACCGTATGAAGCACAGTTTCACTTTGGTACACTAGGGATTGTCATAAGTTGGGACTCAACTACAGCCATGTTTTGACCTTTTTATTAAATATTGATCACATGCCCAGACCTTACGTTAGTGTTTTTCCTGTCCATTCTTCTCATTTTGGTTATGTTGTAAGCATTTGCTCAGTGCAAGCTTGTGAGATAGGCATTTGTCCCCATTTTACAAATTGGGAAACACATTTAAGGAACTTAAGTGATATGTCCAAAGGCACACATCTAGTCAATGGAAAAGCTAGAATTCAAACCAAGATACAAACCTGAGGTCAGTACCTATAAACCACTAATTGATTGTGCTTATACATCTCATCTTTTCCTTTTAGCTCATCCTTTTATCCTTTGATTTCATTTTACTTAGAGCCACAATCAGTGTTCATGGAAGCAGGAGTCAAGAAAACAAATGAGGTATTGCAATGGGCAAATCTGCTGCAAAATACCTCTTTTGGGTCTCCCCAGGGGCCAGAACTTTCCCAGTGAAGGAGGCTTCTTGCAGAACCTTTACATTGCATAAGACTATAGGTAGGTAGAATCCTGAACCCCATCCAGAATCCTCTGAGGTGGTAAATTTCCACTTGAAAGGACAAGCAGACAAGCCTGGAGTTGTTAGAAGAATTGAAGATACTTCTTGAAAGAAACATAAGCAGGAAAATTAAAAACCAATAACATCAGTCTGACTAACTACTATAAGAACAAGCAAGTTGTTGGCCCAGGAGCCATCAAGACAAGTGGACGGGTCCCCTCAGGGCAAATCCCTTTACAAGACTAAAACTCACAAGCAGGCATGTGGCTTGCTGCTGAGCATGTGGGAAGTGGGGGGGAAACAGCGATGAAGTTGTGAGCTAAGTCCGACCACACTCAATAGACTCCTGTTAATCTAGATTGAGACTCGATTGGCCAGCAGTATGACAACACCTGGGACTCTTGGGGACAGGGACATGGCCACAGAAGACCAGAGTGGAGTGTAAAGCATCCAGCTGATAGGAAATGAGGGGAGATGCACAAGAATATCCATACTTGCAGATAGTATCCACTGGACCTGGCTTGAATGGCTGGATGATCAGAACTCAACTAGAGGAAGAAAGAAGAGGATAAAAAAAGTAATCCACCACATTTTGATGAACTTGACCTATGCTTGTTGATGCAGTAGGTCAAAGGAAGGAACAAGTCTTTACAGTGAGGATCATTCCCACCCCTTTGGTACACAGGATCGACAAGGATTGGCAACTTAGATATTGGCTACCAAAAATGGTGGGGGTGGGGGCAGGCACTTCAAAGGCAGGAAGTGACTGGCTTACAAGTTTTCAATAGGGAACCTAGTTCCAGAGGGTGCAGGGGAAGGTAGAATCTCCACTGAGTGGCTTCCAACCTGTCTGGACCTGGCTGATAAAAGGAGATGGGAATAAGACTCTTGTGGTTCACTGGTGAATGATTGCTGTCAGGACTGACTGTGAGGGTTGGAAAGGTAAAGGTAGACATTTTGTAACAAAAGGAGAGGAGTGGTAGATTTTTTAGTCCAGGAGCAGAGATCCCTGGAACCATTAAGGGAGAAGAGCGAAGTGCAGGACCCTATCCAGAGAAGCAGTGACGCCAGAGATGGGGGCAGAGACGATGATGTGGAGAGATGGAGCGTTTGGGGACTTTAGACTCAGGGAGGGAGAGGGGCTGTGTACTCATGGCTGGGGGGCAGGCTTGTGGGGTGTACCCTTTGGTTGTTTGATGATGCATGCAGGATTTTGTAATCATTGCAATGAAACAAAATATGATAGGATGACTGTAAAACTAATGTTCTCTCATGTAAACTATCACATAATGCACAATAAAAACTTAAAACAAAACAAAACAAAAACACAACCTCTTTAAACTATTAAAGAGCACAGATGTCATTTTAAGGACTAAAGTGTACCTGACCCAAGCCACAGTATTTTAAGTCACCTCATAGCATGGGAAAGCTGGACAGTGATCATACAAGAATGAATGCCTTTGAATTATGGTGTTGGTAAGGAATGTTGAATGTACCACAGGCTGCCAGCAGAATGAACAAATCAGTTTGGGAATAAGTACATTTGGATCGCTTTGAAGAAACAAGGATGGTGAGCCTTTGTTTTATGTACTTCGGATCAGTCCCTGGGGAAGGATATTATGCTTGGTAAAGTAGAGAGTCAGTGAAAAAATGGAAAGCCTTCAACAAGATGAAAGGACACAGTGGTTCTAACAATGGATTCAAAAGTAACAGTTGTGAGGATGGTGCTGGACCCGGCAGTGTTTTGTTCTGTGGTCACTATGAATCAGAACCGACACAATGGCATCTAGCAACAACAAATTGCTCCTTATCTCTACTTTTATTTTCTCCAAACCTGTTTACAGAACCCATGATTTTCCTGAATTTGTAAGACCTTTTCTAAAATCTTCATTTTCACTGTAAACTTTTACTAGCGCTATATTTTTTCCCTCTGAATATATCTGTTTAGACAGAGCATACCACGGTTTCTTGGCCTCTTGTCACTGTTTCCTGGTTGAATTCTTTCTTACATCTGTAGCTTCAAGTTAGGTTGATGCACACCTATAACTCACTCAGTTCCTAATGGCTTTCAGACATTAAAATTTGTATATTCTTCTGAACATGGTTAATGTGATTGGTATTTCCATTTCTTTTGGCTACCTGGTCTTTGGTACGCTAAAAGAACCCCAGCATGCCCAATAACCAGGCTCTTCCTATATCCAGATCTTCAGGGCTTTACTTTGGGAGACATTTTGTAGGATGCAGTATGCCCCACTGCCAGGCCTTTTTCTTCTCCTGCTCATTGTTTTTTTGGGAGTTGTGGTCTCTTATCTACATATAGAAATGGAATAGATAATAATTTTCCATTTGCCTCAAATATCAGCCCCATTTCCTCCCAAGCTGTTTCCCTGCCTCTTTTTAGGTTGACAAGGTTGATCTGAGTCATGAGGCAAGCAGGGTGGACTAGCTCCTATTTTATCAATTGAGCTTCTTTGACCATAATAGTCTATGGAAATTTCTGTAAGATTCTGCAACAATATAGTTTATCATCCAGTCTTGCTTCCCCATGTTTTATAGATTTTCATCATTTTTTTGTGTGTCTTTGTTGTTTTAGCAGGGCATTGGTTCAGAGAAGCAACACCAGGAGCTGTCAGGCTCTCATCACTTCAACCTGGATGTTTCCTATCTTTATGGCTAGTTTTTAATAGTGGCTAAACTCCAGAAATCTGACCCTGACTGACATGAACAAAAATTTGAGACCACCCTGGAAAATTGGAAAAGTAATTCTAAAATCTTAAAGAAATTAGTGAACTGATTTAAATTTAATAGATTGAGCCCAATGTCTTCTTGCAGTCGATTCTTTTTTATAGTCACTCTTATGAAAATAAACAATTTGGCTTACATTTAGATAGGGTTTGACTATAAGGAGAAATTGCACTTTCAGTTCTTTATACAGAGACAGTTTCTGTGTTCATTGACAATTTCATTGCTTGAAGTGAAATTTAGCAATGTGTCATAATAACGTTATTAAAACCTAAGATCAGGCTGGTCTTAGGGTAGTGATTCACTTTGTACAGTTTTCTCACTTTACTTCACTTGGCCTTGCTCTTCTTTAAAAGCATATTAGTACGGACTGGATGCATTGATAAACTGACGTGTAAGTAAATAAATGTTTAATCTATTAAGTACAGAAAACCAGGAAATAAATTAGCTTCTTGATATCATACTTATATTTAGTCAAAGGGAATGGCAAAGGCATTTGTTTTAGATTTTAATGTTTAGGAAAGTTGATTTTTTCAAAAACAGAAATACAGCCTTTTTGCAATCTTTATGTAATCTGAGAGAAATACATAGGACATCTCATTTCTTGTCATCTGTATCCATCATTCGAGTGCTGATGGCAGTTGGTTATTCTCAATATGTCATCTGGGGGTTCCCACCATATAGAGTATTATTAAAAATGTAATTAATTTTCTAAAGACTACCACAGACCTACTGAGTCAGAAACCTTTGGGTCAGAGTCCACAAATCTTCATTTTTAACAAGAATCCAGGTGATTATTTTGCACAGACCAATTGGACAACTTCTCCGAGTGTAACTCTTATTGCTGACCCTGAGAATGAAATGATCCTTGGTGGCATGGTGGTTAAAGTACTCTGCTGATAATCAAAGGTTGGTAGTTTGAACCAACCCGATACTTCGAGGGAGAAAGATGTGGCAGTCTGCTTCTTTAAAGATTTATAACCTTCGAAACCCTCTGAGGCAGTTTACTGTCTTAGAGGATCGTTATGAGTTGGAATTGACTCAGTGGCAGTGGGTTTGGTTTGGGATTGGGAATTAACCTAAGGAGGAATATGGATATGTATATTGGTCTCTGCCAAATCTTATTGTTTACGTGTGTGTATGATTTATAAAAA